CTCTATCCAGGATGTCCTCAAACAATCCTCCAGGTGGTTCACAGCAGTAGCAAGGCACCATCTAGTTCTTCTGGTCTCATACTCATATAGGCAGAGGAATGTATGGTCTACCAGTCCCTTGCACTGATTGTTTCCATGCGTCTTTGGTTTTCTTCCTTCTTTGCTCTGGACAAGGAGACACCCATTGTTGCAACCAGATGGCCACTTCCAAGTTTTAAAGATCCCGTTCGCTACTCATCAAAGAAGGATGTGGAACAATGTTTTAATGTAGTATGTCACGCCAGTTGAGCTTGATGTCCCCTGAGACTGTGGTCACAAGCCCACAGGTCCAACTACTTGCTGCCTTTGGGTCACTGGCTGTGGCCAAGAAGCATCCATAGCCTTAGCCCTTGTCAGCTCTCCTATATACTTGGACATTCTTAGAGCACATACAACATGTATGTAGAAACATTGTCTGCCAACCCTATACATCATCTTGGGGACACTGCCCCCTCCCTAGACATACCTGATCATGCACCCAGTCCACCTATCTATCCACCTGTAGATAAATGCTTGCCATTACTAACAAAACAATACTGTACATGCAAAAGGGTTCATCCCTGTCGTCTGTACCTCTCTGTGTCTTTTTCTTCCTCAGTGCCACCACGTTGATCATTCACATTTCATACATTGCCCTTCCCTTCATACAAATACATACTTGTCTCTACCTATCTGTGTTCCCTCCTCTCCCCTCCCCACCAAGGCAAGCAACAAAATTTCTTTCCATAAATAAAACTTTCCTATACTTTTTACAGGAGCTCTGGTAGCATAGTGACTAAGGCAGTTGACTGCTAACCAGAAGGCTGATGGTTCAAACTCACCAGCCACTCCTTGGAAGGAAGGTTGGGCAATGTACTTCTTTAGTGATACCCCTCAGAAACCCAAGGAGGGGTCGCTATGAGTCGGGTCCGACTCATGGCCCACAGCAACAACATACTTTTTACAATTATTACATCAACAATTATGAAATAATACAGCATGTGTCCCCTGATTGAGTTATGTGACTCATCATATTGTCCTCCAAGTTCATCCACATTATGTTGTGTTTAGTACATAGACCATTATTCTTTAGTGTTTCATAATTTTTTATCAATATAAAGCAGTAAAGGGAAAGGCCCTTAATGAGATGGATTGACACAGTGGCTACAACGATGGGCTCAAGCATGACGATGATTGTGAGGATGGTGCAGGACTACACAGTTTTTCGTTCTGTTGTACATAACATGGCTATGTGCCAAAACAACTCGATGGCAACCAACAACATAATGGCTCATCGGGTATGAAGACCAAAACGTAAGACCACGAGTTTTGTTCTCTCTGTGTTCAAGGAGCGACATGGTTGAGTGCGGCATGGTGTGTATGCCTGTCGAAGTGGCTTTATTTACATAGAGGGTGGTGTAATAGGTAAGGCATTTGGCATTTGGCCGCTAACCAAAGGATTGGTGTTTAAACCCACCCACTGAAGAAGGAAGGGGAAACAATCTACTTCCATAAAGATTTACAGCCTTGGAAACCCAACAGGGCTCACTGTGAGTCTCCACCTGATGGCAGTGAGTAGATAAAGACCCAGTAGGAGTCTTCCTCAAATCTGTCTCTCCCAATCGAGTGCAGAATATAAATTTGAAGGAGATTGAAAAAGGAAGTTATACATAATCATTTAAATTGTGGACAATCTCATGCATAGGAATTTCAGGGTTGTACATGTGCACACTCATGAGTCCTAGAGTATGGTAAAAACTGGCAG